GAATCCATGAAAGAAGCTGACAGGGCTATAGGAATCGACGCAGGAGCAGTTAAAATCCGAAGGAGACGGAGAACAAAAACAGAAGCGAATCGAAAGGCTAGCGACAAGAGTCCATCGTCCAAGCCTCAAAAAAGAAGTTAGAAGGGGCGTTAGAACCTGATGCCATGAGCCCAAATCCATTGAAGACTACAAGAAGGAAAGGGAAGGATGCTGTCCCCTAAAAGAGCGCCCTGTCACCGGCTTCTACAGAGCGGAAAATAGTCTTGATTAGGACACTGGCCCCCAAGCAGAAGTACCAACCGAAAAACGGAAACTAAAGGAAAAGAACCCCAACAAACGAAGGACCCGGAATCAGGACGAAATCCCGCACTCTGGAGGAAGTCTCTCCTCAGCCAAAGATAATCCGGAGTGAACTGAAGAGAGCCAGGGGAGCAAATGAAGTATGGTTTGAGTCATAAGTTCGAGAGGGTAGAAGCAGCAGGACCAGCCCAAAAGGGCAGTCTCAGGTGAACTTCCACTGCAAGAAGCAAGACAGCCTAATCCTCAACCCGATAGCTCATGAGCTCCGATCCATCAACGGGGCATAAGAAGGAGAAGCCACCCAAGCCCACCCTCGGCCACCGAAGGAGCCCAGTACTAAGAAGACAGAGTCGACTAGATGTAGGAGAAAAGGCGAGTCCACGGCCGAGGAGGACCAGAAATACCAAGGTGAGCGCAAACAAATCAACCACCACAACGGCAAGTAACCTCTGACGCCAAACCGCCAGACAGTGGACCCAACACTTACGACGGATGAGAGAGTAATGAGTGGTGTGGAGACATATAGGATCTCCAAGAAGACGTCCAAGAAGGAGGGAGCAGTGCGATAGTTTTAGAACGGGGCCACAGAGACAAGGAACCGCAAGGAACCATCTACAGTCAGGACAATCAGGGCCTCGCGGAGGGAGATAAGAGAGAAGGAAGGTTCCAAGCGACCGCCGAAGGGGAGCCTAGAGGGCGGGGGAATGGTTTAGAGCGAAGAAACAGCAGGAAACTGGGGAGGTAGATGATTCATCAGGACAAGCATGCCGAATCTGCCATCTCCACACGTTTGGGGCTGACTCAGAGTGAGCTTGTGAATTCATCCGCCTGTAGTATGAGAAAAAAAGACTCCCTCAAGGAGAAAGTGAGAGGAAC